TCAGTTTTTCAGAATTTGTTTCATTCGTATTTTTTTCTAGAGTAGGACCCTTAAGGATTGGGGAGTCTCATGGTCACTTTGGTAACCTATCATCACCGCACCTTAGTGTGCTACTCTTTTGCCACGAGGATCCGTATATATTTCATGCTTGTCTACGGACAGACTGTGTGCAAAGCAAATCATGGTACAATAATCCTTATAAAAAGAATAACGTTCCATGATTTACATGAATGGATGAATACTACCAGGTTGCCCAGGCCAAGCCAGGTGAATTTTCTTGAGGAATCCACAACAGGAACCTTCGGCTAACCGAAGCCCGATCCGCAAGGCAGCAGGGTGGTGTGAAACCGCAGTCCATTGGGAGCCGGTGTCCAGTTCATCGGATCCTATGCCCTTCGGACGGGGTCAAACGTCCAGGGTGCCCAATACACCTCAGTACCCAATTGAGCGGGTGACCACTGTCACAACCGAAAAGGCGTAGGTGTGGTTCTTACGTTTCTTTTTGTTTGGTTTGGAATCAGGGTTTTTGGCCAACTCCCCTAGGTGAACTACCAGTGGTCCACCAACCCGGTGATAGCCCCGGATATGGGCTTTTCTTCCCCTCACTTTGGTGGGAAAACACCGCCACGAGAAGGTACTGAGTAGGGCTTCCTCAGCAGAGGCTATCCGAGGGGCTTATTCAAATGGGAGCATTTCACGAGGTGTAAGGGAAGGCTGACCAACCGCAACCTTAGACACTCACCCCCGACCATACTGAAGCTTTTGGAGGAGAATCGGAGAATATGAGAATCCGTCGTGTAGTAGTATTAGGAAAAGCGATACCTGAGACCCGAAATGGCGGACGATATGTAGCTTTGATGACATAACAGCGGTAACAACGACGCTGCCTACCATTGGATTTATATACATTTTCAGCTTCAAGTGAATCCAACCAATCGCACTCTGTTGGAAACCCCATCAGATCATTGATGTTTCGGCTGTCATTCGTGGTAACACATACGGGAAATATACTTCAAAGTGACATCCGCCGTGCCACTTAACCCCCAACCTTATTCAGCATTCAGTATTAAGATAACCGTGGATAGAATATTTTACCAACCTCTACTTAATACCTCATGGAGCACCCGGTACAGAGTTATCATCGCTTGTGGGATCGTGAATAACTGTAACTCATTCATATCACTACTAGTCTCGTTCAATAAACTATAAAGATCACATAAATATAACCAGTATGTGAAAAGATGCGACGGGTTGAACAATGATATGATAAAGATAAAAACCTATGCGACAAAGCTGAGTAACGAGGAGAGAAGCCACAGGTAAGGGATTGTTGCCATTGACATTGTGGATTGAAAGCATTAATCGGTCAGGAAATGACAGAGAAAAATATGATTTCTGTTAGCTAGTGAATAGATTCGAATTGGATCTTACTTTTCAGGTGGCGCAGTGGTTTAGTCGCTGTCACCGGCGTGCTTTGGCCCCTATGGTCCGAGGTTCGAGCCCCACCCCCCGACTTTGGTGG